TCGTTGTCAGTGTTTACGATTATTATGATACAGGTATAAAAAAATCCAGTTAACTGCAATGAAGATAAACAAGATTGGACACAATCACACAATTTAGTATTAATCAGACCTGATTTTTTACTATTTTGTACGATTCCCATTTTTCCGCGAACCTGATTTGAACTCTGAGAATTCATTTCATAGCGATTTAAAGAATAAGATGTCTTTAAACTTTTTCTACAACGTATAGTTTGTTATTTCTAAAATCATTTAGACTAATTTGTTTGTTTCTTTTCGTCGAAACAGTTTTTGTCAAAAAATTGCCATTTTGAAAAACCGGTATAGGTGATTGTCGTGTAATATACATATCGAGTTGGCTTAATCCATCAGGGCACGAAATTTTCAATTATCACCTTTGTACTAAAAATAATTAATAGTTATTTACTGGAAAGAGCGCTTTGTTAACGGTGTATCCTAGCTATGGGGATATCGACATCGACAACAACGACAATAACAAAGACAGAAACAACCGCAGTGTTAGGAATATGGCTCTCTTTCTACCAGTGAAAACATAGATAATAATACTTTGTTTTCAATCCTTCTACTTCAGGAAGACACACTAAAGTTTTGTACAACATCACTGATGCAGATTGTTACCAACCTAATGGTAAGAGTTTACAACCACATTTTCAATCATCCGGAAAAGACCAGTAAGCTGGGAAAACTTGTCGTATTACTAGACATCAAATGACTTGTGAAATTATTAAACTATTATTTATTAATATCTTGTCGTTGCATGGCCGCTTGACCAGATATCTACAAGCTGTTTCAAACGCTGTCCTCCCCAGTTCAACACGCCATTCAACAAAAAACGTGAAACTTGACGAAGCAACATAACAATGGAGACCTTAAATCTGACGTTTATGGGAAAAGCAAAACCGTTAATAAGAGGCTGTTTACATGATTCGCCTTAGCCGAGATTCAACGAAGCGTGAGATGACTTTGAAGCATCGAAATAAGTTTTTATGAAACAAAACAAGAATATACTCATTTCATTAATACCTAAAATTAATGTCACACTTTGTAACTCTCGAATCTCGGAGAAGCGGGCAAATAACAACTAAACTTTGGGATTTAACTACACCATCTTAAAGTCTACAACAATTCAAACTCATTGTTGATGTATTTCAAAAAGCTCGTCAGTGTGTGTTTCACGTTCGACGCCATCACAGTCCTTCTATATATATCATTACATATTATTCTGCGAACGTGAAATGTAGCTAACGTACAAGTAGTATACGTTAGGGCACTCTTAGAAAAAATGCCAAGCCCGAGAATACATAATAATATAGAGTACCTCTAAATATACCCTGCAAGTACCTCGAAAATAGGGACCTTTAGATGCACCAACTCTAGGACGACGCGGACGTGAAAAAAAAATGTCGTTATTTCCCAGTTTCACTACAGGAATAAAAATTATAGACTTCCTTCGGTAAACAAAGTCAGAGGCGTATTGAAAGCAGCAATTATAGGGTGCTAACACTATAGTTTCACGGATTACAATGCTATCTTTTAAATGCTATTGAACGAGTGCAAAACGTGTGATGTCGGTTATATTCCATAACCTAAGCATATGAAGATAGCTTATCCTTCAGTGGTCTTGAAAGAAATAGTTGTACACGCATAGAAGCATGTATAGGAAATCTAATAGTTAATAATTTAATCAAATAGAAAACACTCGTCATCGGAAACTCTTGCATCCCAAGAAGGAAAATGGCAATTTCGGCTTTTCACCGACTAAAAATATAGGAAGCAAAGATTTTCAAATACTTTTATTCCACCGTCGGTTAGAGTTTTTAATGCAGAAAATTGTAAAATTATTCCTTACCTAAACTATAATTATATATAGCTATGTATTTTTTAGATATTTACCTACTTCAATTTTCTTTATATTATAGCGAATATATTGATGTCACCATGCATGCAAACATACAAGAATATTATCATTCAACTTGTTACTAATCAACTTGATTATGATTTACTTGACTTATTCATTGTGACATCTTTATAACAGGTTGCTGTCATACATGCATATCTTTGCAGTACAAATGCCTGCTCTAAAAATATTTTGGTTAGGTATGTAGGGGTAATTTTTACCCCCATCAGGTTTATTAGTGCATTGTGGCACTATCAATATGAGAAAATTGTTTTCTATTTCATTTTGGATTCAACAAGTTTCCTGAATAGAAGGCATTGGCCTTGTAAATGAATTGTTTGTTTTGCTTTCGGTATTTGGTATTGTTTGAAAACTAGCCATTGGGAATTTTTTTTCATGCAACACTGTATTATTATGATTATGAGATGGTCCACCATTAATAGCCAACATTTCTTTGGCAAATAAACTTGTCTGAGATTACAAAAAATGCTAGTCTCAGTTTATGTGAACAAAAATCAGTGAAACATTTCATAGTTAATTAGGGGAAGGCAAAAGGAAATTAGATTTTCACTACCATTTGACCTGCATCATTGTAAAATTATATATGCTAATATTTAAGAAGGTAAAAGTAAAAACTTTGTGTACATTTGTACAAACATGGATTAATTTCCTCAAGGGTATGAAAATTATTACTCCTAAGGAATTCTCCTTCTCATAGAACAATGAAATATCTGCAAATAAGAGCATCACCTAAACTGGCTTCACTTTGACACATTCTTGCTCATTGGCATATAGAAAACTACAACAAGTATTAAAAGAAGCAAATGTCAAGTGTGCTGAGGGAATCCACTCACATTCCATTCTCCAAAGTTAAACCCAATGACTAGTTTTCCGCAACCCTTCTTGTAGATAAAAGCAAAGTCCTTTACATCCGAAACGATTACCGTGGCACAATGTCCTTTTCGGGCACCTGCAAGGCTTCGCCTGAAATAACCAGCCACAACCGGCGATGAAAAGTTCGCAAGTAGAACAAACAACTCGTTTACAAGGCGCACACTAGTGAACGAAATCACTTCCGCCTTCTTGTTGTTGCCGTGGAAACAAAATGGCTCGACAAAGCCGTCTAAGCCGCGCACAACATTCCCAAGAACAGCGAATATTTCATGAGGGATGTCCCTTGAAATTTCCGCGTACAATGGATGTCGGATGCTACGTCTCGCTCCAAGTCGCCGATGTATGCTTTTAAGCCATAGCTTAGCCTCGTTTTGTAAGATCGACGCCGGATAAATTGGCCGTATTAGTAACGCAGCAACTCGGCTTGTTGACTCGCACCCTTGTTGGTTAAATACCACGGAGTGCAAACGTTCTAGCTGCTGCACTCCGGTATTTACAAATAAAGTGGAATTGTCACCCTCGGAATTAGCTACTAAACCACGCAGAGCATGTTTAGCTCTTTTATTGAAACTTTCACACTCTATAATTGACTGATCTTGTGCAATATTGGCAATAACTTCATCGGGTGTAAAATTTAAATTCCCCGCGGTCGCCATATTCACAAATTAGCAATTCCGCATGTTTATCCGCTGACCTAAACAAATGGCGACCTCTGGCGAATTTTGCCAGGCGTGTAGCATATATAATAATTTTTTGTTTAATTTTGCACGCAATTCATCGTTACAACTGTAATGTGTAAAATCTATAGAAATAAATTAAACTAAAACTAAAAAAAAAATTAGTTGCTGTTTTCATGTCTCGTCCGCGTCGACGACCACAATAATTATTGGATCCACTCGGATCCTCAAAAGTGAGAAAAGGTATACCTATAGGTTTTCCATGATACAGTATTATATATATAGGATAATAACAAGGAATTCTATTTAAGCATTTCGTAAACACACCAAGAATGGGACGGTAAATATTCGATAAAAAGTATTTTTGATTATCCTTTGAATAATCTTTTCCTTTTGATTAATTTTTCTTAGCTTTCACGGGATCCTGCGCTGAGCCATTCTTAATTATTTACCCGAAGAACAATGAAATCTTAGCAATGGATACGGCAACTCTTGACACAGAAGTCAGAAATCTTAATATTCACAACATCTACTCATTAAATATCGATATTGAGGATAAAAATATATACTTCAGCGATCGGTATCGTATATATCAAGCAAATTTTAGCGGAAATGTTCGAAAAATCATTCTGGAAGATAACGGCGTAATATATATAACAATTGATTGGATTGGAAATCGCATATTTTGGAGTAATTGGAATACGTTTGCTATATATGTTGCGAATTCAGACGGTGAAGATAGCAGGGTGTTTATCAGATGCACTCGAATACCCACTTACATAGCAGTGGATCCAAACAAAGGGTAAGTACGGGATCTGCTGGGAGTTTTTAAGTTTTGTTTCGTAAATATGTAAAGATATAGGGCAAGCGTCCGGTTACCAATCAGATCGCATGCAGCCAACATTAATTTTCCCAGGGCTTTTTGCACACGCAGTACGCGAAAAACCTGGGAACGAAGATTCACTTGCTCGATTGGCTCATTCATGAGCAATATTCTCTTTAACACTCGAAGTAAAATTCCAGCTTTGCGTGTGACTATGTAATATTCTCTATTTATTGAATGAAGTTAATAGCTTCCACTACGAACACGTTTTCAAATTCTGTTCCATGCATGCATGTAGATTCTTGTTTTGGGTTGAAAACTATGAAACCGTGAAACGTAGAAACCTGAAAGCTCGAGATGCGAAAGTTTTAAACACGTCGACTACGTCGTACACAAGCCTGACTCTAGACCACCACAACCAACGAGTATATTTGGCAACTCGTGACGGCAACGTGTTTTCAATGGACTATGATGGAGGCCGAGGAGACATGTTTTCACGGCAAATATTTCCAAATGATATGACATTGCATTACAGGTGGTTCGACATCTATGAAGATTCCATTTTCTTTCAGAAACCAAATTCATATGACTTACTTAAAATGGATATCCGAACCAGAAATATATCGCGGTATCTTTCTTTAAAATACCCCTACATCAGAAACTTATATCTCATCGGGAGTTATCACCCGTTTCACCTATTCTAAAACGCTATAGAGCGTATATTCTAAAATTTAGAACAGCGCTCGATAGCGTCACTGAGTTGCAACCTGAGCAACCCACAACGGGCATTTGCCCGCGAAGACAACATCAACATGGCGCCCAAGCGAACTCGAAGTGGTAGTGTGAATAAACCAAAACGTTTTAAACCCGTTAAACTGCGCGTGCTTTCAGTTTCCACAAGTGGAAGCAAACGTGCCGGTAGCATCTTTCTGAAAACATCATCAGACAATGTTTCAAGTGCTCATGGTGATGAGATATCTACCAGCAATTTGCCCTCGCTCTCGATGGATACCGATCATGATGATCATGGCGATGATCGTGATGATAATGGCGATATTCTTGGTGACCGTAGTACTTCTGACTTATCACAACATCAGTCAAGACGATTACGGCAATACAGACAATGGGAAGAAGTCAGGGAGAAGCTTGTTAAATCTCGCTACGAACGAAATGCTTTCACAGCCAACGATGTACAGTGCTGTGATTGCACAGCATTCGCCGAAACTCGTTGCCTCGACTGTGGTCACGATATTTATTATTGCAGAAACTGTGCAATTAACAGTCACAACACAAGGAATCACTTCCATGTTTTAGAAATATTTAAGGTACATGAATTTATTAATACGTTTGCAAATTGCAAGCTGAGTCAGAGTCTCCCAAAGTCTCCTTCTAGTTCCATTCAATTGCTTGCTTGCTTGCATGAATCAATATGCATTTCATTATTTTACTGTCTAACCATTGAAATTTTGATGTTGTCCACCAACATGGTAGCAGTAATGTCACTTCAATTTTTTAATGGCTGATCTGGATTTTGTGTGTTTTGTTAAATTGTGTCATTCCACACCACACACTGTTTTTGCTTTGGTGGAGTGGTTACCATTACCTAAAAATTTACAAAGCAAGTTAGTGGTGGGATGCCATGCTCAGATAAATTAACTTGTAGATAGAAAGTGTAATTACCTTGTTGGTAATTTTGTAGGTAGATAGCTTGCATAATAGCTTCTGCTAGGTATTCTGAACAGATGTGTATGATCACTGAGGTTTTAATAATAATTTGTATCTTTCAATCTGTAGGATGGCTGTTTTCTACCATTCTTTGTTGACCAGAAACCATTGAGCTTATGGCATCAAAGGAATTGTCCTACATCTTGTGCCAGAATTGTTGCATGCATTGATCAACACGGTAAGCCACCAAGTACCAAAATGGTAATATAACATGTCTATTGATATTTTAGTAAATAGTAAAATATCAACCCTAGGCCACTAAAGATATACATTAAGATGCCCAAAAGCATACTGTACAGTAGATCTACAGTTGGACCAGGTATAATAATGCCTTACATATTTGATTCACCAACAGAGAAACTCTGAGTGTCATAGATTTATGTACATAGAGTGTATGATATTGACAATGACATGGTACACTTTCAGCCAGCCTATTGACATATGGAAACTTGTGAAATAATTTGAATATGAAAGACCATGTGGGGAATGAAGGACAATACTTAAATTCAAACCATTTGGCATTTTTGCCAAGTTTGCATACATCAACAGCTAGTGAGCTGACCTACTTTATCAGTTACAGAATGATTCTCAAGTGAGCAATTCTGTATGTTAATTTTACCCAGGGCGACAGCATCAGAAGCAAATCCTTTTTTGTGAATGTGAAAGTGATGTCGTGACCCTATGGAAGATGCATTTATGGCCTAACTCTGCAAAACGCCCTATTGTAGCTTATCACATAAAGCTGATGGAGTTGGCAGAAGCACTTGTTTTGGAATGTCAAGTTTCTCTGCAAAAGTTCTGTGACATGTTGACTGTCCTCAATAAATCAACTCTTTTCCCAAAATGGGTAAATTTTGTTAATTTACTATAGAATGTTCTTACTACTTACTATGGACTGTAAGATTACAATTGTCAATTTGTGTTTGATGTTCCTGTGACAACAGTGATGACAACTTATACAGTTGTCATTACTGTGATGATATACCACAATGACTAAACTTACCACTGCAGATAGGATACATGAAAGGGAAATTCATCTCATATTTTCTGTATTCAATACTGTAGGTGAAAAATGTTTACTCTGGTCTCAACAGCGATTCCTTTGATGAATTTAGGTACTGGTAACTGCATTTTGTGTACTGTTAGATTGGGTAATACCCTAATAGAATAATATAACTACAGAATGCATGTATATATTCCTTAAACATTTTCATACTAAGTCATACTGTCACTGTATTTGTGTAGATATCACCAGTATATGATGAGAGATGGTTCACCATATTGGCAAAAAACCCCAGAAATTTCTAGAAGTATCTGCCCTCTTTGTCCTAAGGTAAGTTTCGGTTTACATTATTACTGTGTTTCACCTAATATGTGCATGTGCAACTTCATCCTCAAATGCCCATTGTATACTATCATGGGCCTATTTTTTTCTCTTGAACTGTACTTGCATGTACTATCTAAGCCATATTAATTTCCTTAATATGCATGTAGATGTTGTGATATCTTTTTTAGGATGGTAAATCAGGAAGCATTGTGGAGTGTATGGATGGCTGTTTTGGGCTTGTGCGGAAGAAATCTGCAGGCACTGATATTTACCCATCCAGACACAAAACAACCATGTTTGCTGATCAAAATGATGTTGACAATTTTGTTCAAAGTTACACAGCAAATGCCAAAGAATCAAATGTTGTGAGTACAAGGGTATACAGTCTATGCTATGATAATATAATTAATATATATACATATATATATATATATATATATATATATATATATATATATATATATATATATATATATATAAAATAGTTTGACAACAGGAGGAATTGTAACCACTTGTAGGTATAAAACATTTTTATTTACAGACAAACGTTTTCGCTTGTGAAAGCTCTTCAGGTCTGATGTATATACATATATATATAATAATAATAATACGCAAGTAATAGTTATAAAGAACGATTCATTTGACAAGTTGAAGCTCATGTAAATAATAGAAGGATACTCTGTATATTTTGTAACATTTATTGCACGAACATTTTCGCTATATAAAGCTCTTCAGGTGCTATTACATCACTCTTACAAATTTCTATACTATACTGTAGGTCACTCCAAGCTTTTACACAATACATGGGGCATATAATATGCACAGATGTGTGTATTAATTATTGGACAGGTTAATTGTAAACTGTATAAACCTTATCAGGAATGCAATGAATTTAAAGCTGGAGAAGTAACTGACATGCTCAGGTCAAAAGGGAGAAACAAACTCTATGATGAAAAGGGTGTTTTTGGACGTGTTTGCAGACACGATTTCCCAAAAGGCTTCCTCAACATTAAACATGGAGAAAGGTATATGATTAAGTTGGTATTTGAGTAAGTTTGCACTGATAATGAATGGCTGTCAGAACAACACTTTACAAAAACCAATAGTGTACTGCAGTATATTCATTTATTTTCTCCAACTTGGTCTTCCCATATGTCATTTTCATATACTGATCGTGGTACAACACTTTAACCATGAATCACGCAGGACAAAATGTCTTAAAAATAAAAAACTATTGATAAAAAAACTATTTTTATTCTTTATAGGATAGCTTATTCCGTGTACGAACTACAGCGTCTATTAGACAATTATGATGGGACAAGTGTTGATGTAAAGATTACATGATATTGCATGTACATTGGAAGCCCATTTGAAGGTACTGTACTGTTAACAGTAAAAAATTGATTTCTCCAGCCACATCACTAGTTTAACACCAGGTATATGGTAATAGCTAATGCACGCTGTACTGTGTTGTAGAAAAATGAGAGGGAAGACATTCTTGACAAAGTTGATTTAGCCATACCAATTTTCCACTGCTATGGACACAAGTCATCTTGCCAGGTAATGTATAGACATTCCATTATTATGAACCATGTAATTACTTTGAGAAAAATAAAGCTTCTATGTCTGATATCCCCTGTAAAATACTGAATGGTTTTATTATGATAATGCTATGAATTCAGACTTCTAATTAGTTTGGTATACAATATTTATTCTTTCTGACAAACTCCATACCCATGCTAGATACAGTTCAGCCCAAGGCGACTACAAGGCTATGGTTTAACTGATGGTGAAGGAATCGAAAGGTTGTGGTCATATTTAAGAGGTTTCTCTTCAATGACCAAGGAAATGAGCCCCGGGCGACGTACAGATATGTTGACCGATGCTTTGCTGCATTATTCCTCACGCCAGCTTCGTACATGTGGTACTGCAGTATCTGCTGTTTATATATTACATTATGCTTATTATGTACAGTATACGTTATGCTTAAACTATTAACCTCTCTAATAGGATTTCAACTTGCGAACAAGCTAAAGAAATGTCCAGTACTTCTTCAAAACGCATTGTTGCAATTGGAAGAACTGTTCTCTGCGTTATCCGGTGTAGTAGCTAAAAATTTGATTTGTTTGGTACAAGGTGTATATACTGTACATATGACACATCCGCAAAAATAATTGTAACAATTAAGTTTCAATCGTAGTTCCATATGATGGAGAAGTAATTAAGAAGTGGATGAAAGATGAGGAAAATCTGATTTTAACGAGAGGTTTGTTGCTGATGACTTGTGTCTTACACGTACAGTACATTGTTGTTTCTAGTTTACTAACAATTCTTCTGTATGCTGTATTTCAATACCTATAGCCAAAACCAAATTCACTTTGACGTGGCAGCAGAAGTACGTTCAGAATCTAATTCATTTGAATCAGCTGAGGTGCGTTCCCTTTTCGATAAAGGAACTTGTACGTACGTACATGTTGTCATGATTGTACTTTATTATTACACAGGTTTTTCAACGTTTTCGTATGTTCTTTAATTACAGATTGAATGTTGCATCTATTGAGGAAGGCGCACATGACCAACTGGTTGAAGTGGTTAAAAAAACAAAAGAGTGAGAGAAATTAAGATTCATTCTAACCTACATAATTTCTTTTTTGATCCTTTTATTTTGCAATGACCTAACCATCTAGGGTCATGAAGACACTGAAAAGTATTGAGAAGTGTAACAAGCTGCCGAAGAGGTGGAAACCAGGTGAAGCACATTTTAATGCGGCAGCTCTTGGTTTGGAAAATCAAAGACGGGATACAATTGTGGAGCAGACGTATAATATGGCAGTGGAGAGGATGTTTCTTATTTCTCTTAAAAGAAAATATTCAGGTAAAGGCTAAAGCGGTCTACCAAGATAACCGTGTCTGGTGTGCTGTTACAGTTGCTACATGTGGTACCAGAAGCGGAAAGTACGACATGTACATGCATCGTATAGGACTTCTCTAAATTTAGTCCACTTCTGCTGAGGACTAAATTTATAGATAGTACAAGGTAGAAGTATTATACTGTAGCTTCCAAAACGAACCAATATTTGGCGAGAAATTCCAACTTGAATTTCGCTAGTGTTCCAGGAATAAATTGCAATGAAAATAAGAATTCAGCATTACTAACGATGTGAATTTCTTTCGTCTTTGCTTTATGAATTACTGTCAGTATAATAATGTATTTGAGAAGCGAAATACAAATTGCATGGTAACTTTAGCAGTTTGTCAATTAATACTCTATAACTATATTAATGCTTTTGGTTTTACTACCAGATGGTCAAGCAATAGCAACGAAATTATCGAAGCAAATAAACAGAAAAACAAATGCGATCAAGAGTACGGTCACCAAGTATAATGCCTCCTTAGCTGCTTTGCAGGAATTGGTTGATGGATTGCCCAAAGAGTTGAACTTTGACGAAGCTAAGGATCCTGAGTCTAGTCTTTACAGAACATATTGCGACGAGAGTACTGTTGAGAGTGTCCCTTTTTCTGTGAAAAGGTCTGCAATTGACCTACAAAATTTCTTAGATCGATGCAAAGAGGAGCAGCAACTCTTGTTGAAGGAAATGGAAATGCTATTTGACCATTATTTGAAAAGAAGAGATTGTCTGGAAGAGAGTTATCAACTTCACTCGCAGAACGACTGCAGACTTTCAAATGGGATTTGTACTGTGGTGAAAAGTGAAATTTGCGAGACAAACAATATTTTGCTTTCCTTAGGAACCACATTTCGTAATCATTTAGATGCACCTATTCTTGACACAATTTCTGGGATTACTGCTACAACATCTTCTCATCTGTCGACGTCCTTGTTCCAGGAGACTATTGAAGATGATGAAATCGCAGTTATAGAAGAGCAGGTTATAGAAGATCTTGTTGATTTGTTAGATGGTGAAGATGACGACGATACTGCAGCTCATTATCAAAGTGATTGTGATGGTGGTAATGTTTGATGAACATTCCACAACATGAACTAGAACAAACTGTAATAATAGTGGTATTCTATATGTAGCGATTTATGCCTAGAAAATGTACAAATGTGTTAGTTTACCTCAATCCAGCGACAATGAGTGGGTGGCACCCCATGATACCCCTGCCATTGAGCAGTTAATACGGAACTCCTTCCGGGGGACTGGAAGCCCTGGTTAAAAATATTCTGCTAAACGTTTCTGGCATGGTGTCGCAACGGTGTCGCTTATGCAATAGTGACATTATGTTCAGAAACCATTTGATTCGAGCTTTGAAATGTTCTAAAATTTAAAGAGGTCCTGCAACATTATTGCCAGTATAGTAATCAGAATATATGTTGACAAGTGCGTTATGAGTAATCCATAAGCAACCCGCAACTTAATAATAAAAGTAAACTAGAAATAATCAAAGATTTGGCACGTGCGTTCGATTTTTTTATTACCAAAATTTAATGTCGAAAACGAACGCGAAAATGTGCGCAACAATAAAAAATTTCCAAATAAAACGGAATAACACGATGTCGTTCCCATAATAACTTGAGAAATTACAGTACACTACAGTAGTAAGAAATTCCAAAACTAGTGTAAATACAAAATTTCAGAGCATTTGAATAAAATTAAGATGAACTTTGAATTCAGGGTGGGTAGATTTTATGAATAAATAAGCCAAATATATTAACATAACATTTGTTTTCTTTGTTTAAAACAAAGGAATCAAAGGGCCGCCAATAACAATGTTTGGCTTATTTTTTTCAGTAACTTACCAACCCTGTTTGAATTTTGGGGTTCGTGTCGCTCGTATCAGGTATAGACCTAATCACCTAAGAGGGCGAGCGTGAAAAGCACCCCAGATGAAAAGTGCGACTATCTTAACGAAACTTTGCACAACGTTTTGTATCACGGAAACTAGTGTAAATACAAAATTTCAGAGCATTTGAATAAAATTAAGATGAACTTTGAATTTTGGGGTTCGTGTCGCTCGTATCAGGTATAGACCTAATCACCTAAGAGGGCGAGCGTGAAAAGCACCCCAGATGAAAAGTGCGACTATCTTAACGAAACTTTGCACAACGTTTTGTATCACGGAAACTAGTGTAAATACAAAATTTCAGAGCATTTGAATAAAATTAAGATGAACTTTGAATTTTGGGGTTCGTGTCGCTCGTATCAGGTATAGACCTAATCACCTAAGAGGGCGAGCGTGAAAAGCACCCCAGATGAAAAGTGCGACTATCTTAACGAAACTTTGCACAACGTTTTGTATCACGGAAACTAGTGTAAATACAAAATTTCAGAGCATTTGAATAAAATTAAGATGAACTTTGAATTTTGGGGTTGGCGTCGCTCGTATCAGGTATAGACCTAATCACCTAAGAGGGCGAGCGTGAAAAGCACCCCAGATGAAAAGTGCGACTATCTTAACGAAACTTCGCACAACGTTTTGTATCACGGAAACTAGCGTGAATACAAAATTTCAGAGCATTTGAATAAAATTAAGATGAACTTTGAATTTTGGGGTTGGCGTCGCTCGTATCAGGTATAGACCTAATCACCTAAGAGGGCGAGCGTGAAAAGCACCCCAGATGAAAAGTGCGACTATCTTAACGAAACTTCGCACAACGTTTTGTATCACGGAAACTAGCGTGAATACAAAATTTCAGAGCATTTGAATAAAATTAAGATGAACTTTGAATTTTGGGGTTCGCGTCGCTCGTATCAGGTATAGACCTAATCACCTAAGAGGGCGAGCGTGAAAAGCACCCCAGATGAAAAGTGCGACTATCTTAACGATCTTTGCACAACGTTTTGTATCACGGAAACTAGTGTAAATACAAAATTTCAGAGCATTTGAATAAATTTAAGATGAACTTTGAATTTTGGGGTTCGTGTCGCTCGTATCAGGTATAGACCTAATCACCTAAGAGGGCGAGCGTGAAAAGCACCCCAGATGAAAAGTGCGATTATCTAAATATCTAAATTAAGATGAACTTTGAATTTTGAAAGTGACCATCATTATTTAAAATTGTCTCTCTCTTTTGTTATTTCTTTCACTGTATCTTTTGTTCTTCCTTGTTTTCTTCCTTTAGTTCTTCTTTTCGTTCTTCCTTTCTTTCTTTCTTTCTTCTTGTCTCTTTCCTTGCTGCTTGCTTCCTTGCTGGGCACACACACACACACCACTATCGCAACGGCCCTGCTTATTCGTTCCTATGTTATTCATGGGGTGTTTATATGGAAGAAGGCCAGCCCTCACTGGAGAGCTGGCCCTTGAAGAAGAGATCCCTCCTCCTTAGCCAGCCCCCCTAACAGGGCCAAGCCATCTCATATAAACACGAGCTGAAAGCCAACCGCCAGCTGAAAGGCCAATCCTCTTAAGCGGGCCAGCCTTCCCCATATATTAACAGCCCCTCAGTCTTGTCAGATTTCCCATCACTCGAGTAAGCACATTACCGAATTCCCTATATCATTTTGACACATTTACCCACAACATTCTACAAATTTTCATCTATTTCCATTTAATTCTTTAATAATCACTAGTCACAGAAACCGTATTCTATGCAGCGCTTCGACACGTAGCAAGGACTCTTCTAACCATATCTTTGAAATCAGTCGGTTAGCAACGTTTAAAATTGCAAAAATGTGACATTGCTGATACCATTTTTTCTACACATGCTTGGACCCCCACCCAGCATACAGTGCAATGGGCGTGGTCTGAATAACAAAAAACCCCATGAAAAAAACCCCATGAAAGATGGACCATTAAATGTTCGTTTTGCAACTATCTATCGATGAATAGACAGCGAGTAACGTAGCCAATGACAACGCAACATTTGCAACAGTATAGATATTATGACTCACGTACCTATGTAGGTGTGTAATTACAACTTGCAATAGTTCTAGGCAGAACAATTTAGGCCTGTTTCAAAACGGCGAGTTTTCATGTGCCGAATTCAATTCATATTGAGCTCGACCAAGTTGGCTTGGTGATTCAAACGTCGAAAATAACAAAGTAGTCGAGCTTAACATATAGACTCAAGTCGATTGTTTGGGTTGGATGGGTTAGGCACATGGTAAACTCGCCGTTTGAAACAGGTCTTACGAAGGTTTAAAAAATTACTTATCAAAGCCATGTTTTCTCAAACACTCCTTTACAGAGTAGTCAAAATCAGCGGACACCGCAATGAGCCTCAATTCATCCTCTGTATCAAGGTGTTTTCTAACTCTAAGAGACCCAAGTTCGCTAAGATTGTCGTTGATCAAATTCAATGCCACAATTGATGCTTCTTGGGGCTCAACCAGTAACTTGTAGTGTAGTTCCTGTTCGGTCTTGTCAAGCCAGTAACCGCTAATTGGATCTTCTGGTTGTAGATTCTCAATCTCATCGGCGGTTCCGGGATGGTAAAACAACCAGTATGCATCACTGGTGGTTGTATACACGGGTAATATATACCCTTGATGACCCCTGCCTGCCTCAAAATTACTTTCTAGTGCGGTGATTGCATCTTCATGGAAGTAATCCCGCAATTGTGTAGTGAGAATATTGAACTCACTAGCGGTGAGGTCGAATTCGCATACTTCCAAATCCTCCTCTAAGATTTGGTGTTGGTTCGATAGGCTGGCTGTAGCGGTTTCTTCGGTGACTAATTTTACCAAAATTTGCTTGTGTACTGCAAGTTCGGCGACAGTGACTTGTGATGGCACTTTGACAGCAGGATTTTGTAAACAAAAGGCGATGTCATCAGCCTTGTTCATGATTTTCTGGATTTGTTTTTGCCCATAAGTGCTCGGGTTTCTAAACTCAATTTCATCAGGTAATCCTGAAACGACGAAACCACCTTTGGAATACGGCACTTTCTGTATGGGCTTTCCACATGCTTCACCTACGAAAAAAAGTAAAGCATATATATATAAGTATATATATGGCACGAAGAAGATTAAAAGTGAAGGGTATCAATACATACTATATACTCATTTTGCACAAACGTTTTCGCTTTTTTATTTAAGCTCCTCAGGTGCTATGAGTTATTTACAATCATTTGTAAATAACTCATAGCACCTGAGCAGCTTAAATACACTACACATACGATAAACACTACACATACGCAGACCCTCCTTACGTTTGATGTAAATTATTTTGACCAAGTAAATAACCGTTCCAATAAAATACTTGGCATTATATATTTAAGAAATAGAAAACATTTTCCGTGTTTCTATACAGTTATAGAAACACGCGTGGGAGTTTGGGAGAACTCGAAATAACGTGGAAAAACTCGCCCTACGGGCTCGTTTTCCCACTGATTATTTCTCGTTCTCCCAAATAACGTGGAAAAACTCTCGAAATAACGTGGAAAAACTCGCCCTACGGGCTCGTTTTCCCACTGATTATTTCTCGTTCTCCCAAACTCCCACAAGTGTTTCTATAACTGTATAGAAACACAGGAAAAAATGTTTTCTATTTCTTTTATAATATAACTCAATAAAAAGATTTTGTACAAATATTATAATTCGATTCAATTACAAATTCTCATTACATTACTTCGCTTGACCAGTTCGGCGGGAAAATTCCCGTGTTTCTATACAGTTATAGAAACACGCTTCTCGACCAATCAGCACGCGCGTACTATAAATGTTATATTATAAATGTATATATAATTATGTAGAGGTTATCATATGAGGAGTGAGGTGATATCACTTTTATCGCATGAGGAACAATATCACAAAATGTCACGAGTGAGCGAAGCGAGGGAGGGACATTTATGACATTGTCCTGAATGCGATAAAAGTGATATCACCGAGATTAGAATGTTGTCACATTACAATGTTATCACATTGTTATTCACATTACAATGTTATCACATTGTTATTCACATTACAATGTTATCACATTGTTATTCACATTACAATGTTATCACATTGTAATACGACGAGCTACCACATCCGAAAATATGTTGTATGAAACACAGTAAACAATAATTACATGTGTACATCGTACGTATGAAACTTACTGTACTTCCGACGAAACAATTCACGAACATCGTGCATGGTGTATTTGACACATTGTGGAGAATCTATGTAAGAAAAAACATATTCCATATATATTTCTGTATTTCTGTATTTCTGTATTTCTGTATTTCTATATTTTC